ACCAAATCGTCTGCATAGGCCTGTAACTTAAATATTTCCTTTTTAGTTTCTAAGCCTTTAATTTGTTCTTCTTTCCGAATTATTCTAGTCAAGACTTCTAGAGATAGTACAAATAATAGTGGTGATAATGGACAGCCTTGTCTTGTACCTTTTTGTATTTGGAAACTTTTAGTGGTTTCTCTGTTTACTACTACTTTCGCTTCCTGTTTCGCATAAATTGCTTTGAACATATTTATAAACTTTTCTCCAAATTCCATATATTTTAGCTGATTCAGCATAAATGTTAATGGCTTAAACTCCCCCGCAAAGAGGAATAAAATTTTGAGGAAATTATTTTAAAACCGCCTGGAAATAAATACCTTTTAGAAAAAAGGGGGTTAAATGCAGGCCCTGGCTGCCTTTTAGGGGCTCCTTTTTCCCCAGCTTTTGAGGCACTGATTTTTAAAGCTCCACAAAAATTAAAAGCATCATTAGGCTAGAATGATTAGAAATAAAAAACATTTTTTTTTATTTCACAGCTCCCCAAAGTAGGGCTTGTTTCCCAAAAACACAGGCCTCTGTTAATTATTCACTTTACTTAGCTTTTTTTGGTTTTGAATGTCCATAGAATTAGTCTAGGGTTAAGCTAATCATGTACCCAGAGGATTGACTTCCACATCTTTCTTGATGGGGTTAGGTTCAACACGCCTTACCTGAAAATAGGGCTGTTAGGGCTACTCATGCTTATCTTGATGGGCTTAGGCCAACACGTCACTTCCGCTTAGGGCCATGACCTGGTGACGTAATCAACACGTGGGTTTGTTTACTTTGATGACGTCACTGATCAAAAGTGCTGATAATTTTCATTAAAAAAAGGTATACACTACTTCTACTGGCGGCTTTTTAAAGCACTAAGTGAACTATGCTTTACCATAGTGTGAACTGTATCAGTGTTATCATTTTGTTCATTTTTTATTGTAATTACAGGCTCCTCTTTCTTTCACAAAAGAGCTCAGATGCATGTAAGCAGGGTTCAAACAATAATTAGATCCAGATCAGTTTAGCTACAATTTTTTCCATCACTCATAAGTATAAGACTCTATCACCACACTCAAAATTCCCCAAAGTTCTGATGCATGCAACATAATGCATGCAACAAGTTGTACAAAGTGTGCTGCAAACAAATAGGAGAACGATCCAGTCTGATTGGAAGAGGATGCATAAATACATCCAGTTTGTAGAAAAGATACTCAGAAAATAAATATGAGCACAAACCAGAAGTGCCTATGCTGATGTGCTACAACATGAAAAAGGAAGCCAGTTATCACACAGCAATGGAGAGGAAAGAGGAACCACATGTAGTAACAACTGAAGATGTGATGTTGAACATCCTGCATCTCAATAATAATAATAATAATAATAATAATAATAATAACAACAACAACAACAACAACAACAACAACAACAATAATAATAATAATAATAATAATAATAATAATAATAATAATAATAATAATAATAATAAAGTTGGAAGGGACCTTGGAGGTCATCAAGTCCAACCCCCTGCTCAGGCAGGTAACCCTATACCGTTTCGGACAAATGGCTGTCCAGTTTCTTCTTAAAAACTTCCAGTGTTGGAGCATTCACCGCTTCTGGAGGCAGGTTGTTCCACTTGAACCAAAGAAGAAGGTAAAGGAATTTACCAGAAGCCTGCATTGTTTCTCCGCTGGCTGCAGGCATCCAGGGTGGCTTCGGACTCCACAGGGAGAGCCATTTCTTCATTTTCTTCTGTTTGCGGGGAGAAAACAAGCACAGCTGTCAGGATTGAGGAGACATCTAGGGGAAAAGGGGAGAACTGGACATGGGAACAGACTCACCCTCAGAATCACCAGAGGCCTCCTGCCATCTATCCCCAACGTGCCCCATGGCAGGAGGCAGAGATCGGGGCACCAGAGGGATCACCTGCAATTACAAAAAGTGGGAAGGAAGAGGAGGAGCATGAATGCACAACAAATTTTGGGACTTTCAGAGATACACTGCGATGCTCCTTCTGGCTTGCTCGCCCCCGTCCCATTCATCATTCTGGCTAAAACTCCGCCGTTACCTTTAAGCCAGCGTTTCGATTAGACTTCTCTGCAGATCTGGGGGCAGAAGATCGGAGAAATCGAAACCGAAGTCGTAGGCATGACAACCCTCCGGCAGATCCTACTTCCTGGTTTGATACCACTTCCTCCTTCCACGCAACGTCCTCAGCTGGGCTTCGCTGTCAAGGGTGAAGCCGAGAGCACGCACCGGGGCACCAGGGAAAGCCGGTTGCATGCCGCGGTAGGCGCAGGATGGCTGCATTGGAATGACCCCGCGAAACCCCCGTTAGTGTGATTTAAAAGAGGGGGTGTGCTATCCAGGAATTCCTGCAGATGTTGATGCTTTTAAACAAGTTGCCCAAGCCTTACATGCTGCGTGCCTGCTTATGCACCCTAAAAGATGTGTGATGGGGAAAGGATGTGAGTTTCTCAATGTAGGTTTTCACTATAGTTGTTGGGGGGGGTGTCTTTCAAAGTGGTGAAGGGTGGGGGAAGGTGTAAAAGTATGCAAAAATAATTTGCAATACAAATCATTATTATGAAACTGCTGTAAAGCCTCAGTGTAAAGCACACTGAAACAGTAGCTTCTCCCTGATGTAGTGAGTATAGTGTTGTGTTTTTGGTTCGTTGGCCACTATGGCCAAGGCTTCTCTGTTAATCTGAGCGTAATTCCGCTCTGCAGATGACAGAGTCCTTGAGTAGTAGGCCACAGAAACTTGTGTTCCATCAGCCTTCAGATGGCTAAGTACTGCTCCCACCCCATAAGGAGATGCATCGCATGCAATGCAAACAGGCAGTTGCTCATTGAAATGCGCTAAAACAGCATTTGAAGAGAGCAAGGCCTTAACCTCATTGAAACTCCTGTCATGGACTTTAGTCCACTGCCATGGAGCCTGCTTGTCTAAGAGCCTGTGTAACGGCTCTGCCACTGCAGCCTTATGTGGGAGAAATGCATGGTAAAAATTTAAGAGCCCCAAGAAGGCTTGCAGCTCACTTTTGGACTTGGGGCTTGGGGCCTGTTGAATAGCTTGCAGCTTGGATTCAGCAGGGTGAATGCCTTGGGCATCAATCCTGAACCCCAAGAAGTCAGTGGAAGTGACTCCTATCTTGCATTTATCCTGCTTTAATTTAAGGCCTGCTTTTTGGAAACGAAGCAAGACAGCCCTTAACCTTTCTGCTAAATTTTGAGATGACTCCCCAGCAATGAGGACATCATCGAAGTAGGGACAGACCCCAGGAATACCCCTAAGTGTGCACTCCATGACACTTTGGAATATGCCAGGGGCTACATTTACCCCAAATTGCAGTCTTTTGACCTTGAAGGCCCCCCTGTGTGTTACTATCGTCTGGGCCTCTGCAGATGCCTCATCAACAGGTAGCTGTTGATAGGCCTGGGCCAGGTCAAGTTTCGCAAAGATGCGCCCCCCCTTGAGGGAGGCCAGAATGTGACTTACAACAGGAACTGGATAAGCGTGCTGTTGCAACGCTTTATTCAGTGTGCACTTATAGTCTGCACATATACGGATTTCCCCATTAGCCTTTAGAGGCGTTACTATGGGGGTTTCCCATGGACTAGAATCCACAGGTTCTAAAATGCCCTGCTGGAGCAATTTGTCCAGCTCAGCATCTATCTTACTTCTGAGGGCAAAAGGCACCCTTCTGGGCTTGACACTGATGGGCGTGATAGTTGGGTCTAACCGTAGTGCAATGGGAGGCCCCTTGTAGGATCCTAGCTCTGAACTAAACACATCAGCAAACTCCTTGCAAACCTCTGCAAGGCCCAACGTTTGCAAGTTGTGCAGCCCAGTTACTTGGATTCCCAGAGCCTCGAACCAATCGAGTCCAATAAGACTCGTACGTTCACCCCCAACTACCACCACATCCAGGAACCCCTCAAAATCCCTTCGCTGGACTTTGAGTGTGGCCTCTCCCTTTACACTGACTTTAGAATTCTGAAAATCAGTAAGTATTAGATTCGATGGCCTGAGTTTAACTCGAAGGCCACTACTGCTGCAAATCCTTTTAAAGGTGTCAAGAGAAATGATTGATAGAGCAGACCCTGTGTCCAGTTCCATCAATAAGGGAACCCCTTGTAACTTCATGTCAATGCGAAGTTTTTTCTTAAGGGGCTTGTGTGTCCCTGTCCTCAGAATACTCCTGCGTGATGCACAGAAACACACCCTGTGTTGGCTGGGGACCCTGGTACCTTTCTGAAGCAATTCTTCCCGAGGTTGGACCTTCTGGCGACCCAAACAGACGGAGGCAATGTGGCCTTGCCTGCCACACGCCCTGCAAATGGCGGAGCGAAACCTGCAGTCAGCTCGCTTGTGGCGTCCTCCGCACCCAAAGCACTGAAGAGATGCTGGGGCCTTGTCCGGATGCCCCTTCTGCCTCCTCTCAGCTGGCTGGTGAAGTCTGTCCACCTCCTCTTCAGGATCCGCTTCTGATTCTTCTCAAGCGTCCTCTTGATGGAGGGTAGCTGTGGCTGGAGGGTTCCTGGCGAGCAGCAAAGCCTTCATAGCACTGCCTGCTGCTTCTTCAGCTGCCACCTCTCTTAACGCGTCTTGAAATGAGACCTCTTCTTTTGCAAAGATCTTTTGTTGGAGGTCTCTACTTCTTAAGCAACACACGAAGTGATCGCGCAGCCTTTCTTCCAGGTCCTTAAACTCACAAGGCCTGGCCGCTTGTCTTAAGGCAGTAATAAAGTCCGCAGCAGATTCACCCGGCCTCTGGTCTCTCTGCTCGAATGCGTGCCTCCAAGCGATGACAGATAACTTCGGCTGGAAGTGTTCCTTCAACATCTTCTTCAAGTCAGCGTATGTTACTGACTCCAGAAGTGCAGGGGCCACCAGATTTTCCGCGATGTCAAAAGCTTCCTGTCCACAGGCACACAGCAGAGTTGCTGCCTTCAGGCCGTCTTCTCTTATCTGATTTACCCTAAAGTAATTCTCCACCCGTGCTACGTAGGAATTCCATCTCTCCGGGTGGGAGACATCAAAATCAGTCAAGCGGTCGATCTTCGACATCGTAAGCTCTTTATTTCTCTCTCCTACAACCAAGCAAAGCAGCAAAAGGCACGCAGGCCTTTTATAGGGCCAGAAACCCAGACAGTGTGAACCAATAGGAATTGACCATTTTCGTGCCTTGCGCATGCGCACAAGGCTGGCGCCACTCTGTCTGGTCCCGGGCAGCTTTTGGAATGCCCTGGACCATTTGCAACATTCTGAGCCTGCTTTCAGCTCTTGCAGGCTCAGGACACAACATATAGTACATTATATTATGGAAGGTTTGAGTTAAGTTCCACTCAGCCTGAAACTTACTGGGTGATTTGGGAAATTTAGATCAGAATCTTGCAAGTCGCCATGGTATTCCCTCTGACACTCTGGAAGTGAAAGTTGGTCTTTGAAGAAGTAGGATTGGAAGAATATTGACACTTTTGGAATTGGAGAAGACTCCTGAGAAATCCTGAGAAAGCCAGAAAACACACACATCATCAAATAAATCAATTCAGAATTCTAACTTGTGGCACAAATGATCAGGTTCAAGTTATCTTGCTTTGGACACATCAAACAAAGATCTAGTTCTCTGGAAAAGGCTCTAATGCTGGGAAAAGTGGAAGAAAAGAGAAGAGGACAATCAGCAAGGTGGATGGATTCAATTATGTTGCTGATGTTGACCCAATGAAAGACTTGAAGGATCAGATTGTCATGGATAAAATCTATGTGGTTGCTAGAAGTCAAAAATGATTTGATGGCACATAATCCATCATATGCTTTTAGGAGAAACACAGGATAAAAATGCAGTCCATAAGGTCCAATCCAGGTTGAAGTAACCTGTTCAAGAAAAAGTCTTGAACAAGGTCTCACATTAGTTTAAGATGAAACTGAGAGCCACTTCAGTTTTACTAAAAAAAATGAATGAGCTATAATATCCAGAAAGAATGGCATAATTACTAAACAGTGATGGCTGTGTATTTATAAATATAAATAACATCTTTTGTTAAAGAGGTTTACCAGTCTTTCGAATACTGAAATGGAAACTGTATTCTAAACATTTCCAGTTGGCCAGTAGACACATTTTTAAGTATCCTGGAATTAATTAGGAGTGTTCAAATTCCCACGGTGTTCATATAGGCATGCTTCTACCCTGTGTTTTTATAAAGTGTTGTCATATTTCTGATTTTTTTCACCCTATCTTAGTTGCCCAGAGTCACATGTCAAGTAGGAAGCTATATACATTGAAAAATATAGTACTGTATTTCATTCTTTTCACAATATAATTGGTATTACTTGGTGGCTTTTGAACTGAGATCAACCTTATAGTGTACTAACCACTCTTGGTACTTTTCCAGAGGTCAATTAAACAACACACTTATGCCAGAAAAAATCCACTCCATTGTCAATGAACTTAGAATAATGCATTCCACAAAAGTTCAGCAATTTTTCCTGTGACTTACTCAACTTTGAAACCATTTCTTCTTTCTCAATAATATTGTGTACATTTCCATGCAATAATACAACATCTTTTTGGGACCAGCTCTGGATCTGATCTTACGATGTCATTGTCTTGAGGAACTGAGTCAATGTATTTCTGTCTCTTTTAATTTACAAGAAACCCCAACTACATTGGAATTTTATTATGAATCATTGCAGTTCTGCAAATCCAGTATTTTGGCAGGAATTTGTATTTCTCTCTCCCCACCCACACATCAGAAATTCTGGAGTTTGTATCTTCTGTATGCAATGTTCAGAATTTTTCCACCACTATCCACAATCTATCAAGGTCCTAATCCAGTGCCTGGAGGTGGTTGGGGTATGAATGGGAAGGAACAACTCAACCCTTGCAAGACCGAATGCCTATGGATATTTGGATTATTTGGATCTGGGGACTTTCCAGCTTTAGCGCCAAATAAAAAAGTTGCCTGTCCCATTTGGGATTGGTCTGGTGTGTACGTTGGGGAATTGTGGACTGCCCACCCTGCTCAAATAGCAGATGGCAACTATGGCTAGAATGGCACAGATTCATTTTGTAACCAATTGTCCCCATTCTTGGACTGGGAGGCCATGCTGACAGTCACTCATGCTTTAGTCACCTCTTGTGTGGACTATTGCAACACAGTCTACATGGCCTTGAAGGTCACTTGGAAGTTGCAACTTGTTTAGAGTGCAGTAACACAAGTAGCTATGAGCATTTCATATTATACCCAGGGATCTCTCTGCTTTTTGACCTGCACCA